GAGAGAGAGTGAGTGAGAGAGAGAGAGAGAGAGAGAGAGAGAGAGAGAGAGACTAACCCTTTGGTAGAAATCGTCGTGTTCTTGAGATAAGACCACTTCTTTCATGTCTTTAACTCCCGGAACGTCCGCTAAATTGATTCTATTGTTATTAATAGTAAGCAATTCGTGGAGTTGTGCCCCATATGTCCACTGATTATTCAATTGGAAACAAAATTAACAAAATATATAATAGTTTTAAATGAATGCAAACCTGATTCAAGAGAGGAGTGATTGGATCTAATTTTCGGTCCAAAATCAATAAAACGGGTGGAACTGAAGGATCGGAAGAATTTGAATAATTCAAAGAACTCTTTCTGAAATCAAAGAGAGAGCCCTCTCTGGCAATGGTTTGTCTAATATTTTCTGCCAAACGTTTACATAATTCGCTGTTTGATTGGTATCTTATGGTTGGGTTTCTCTTCAATGATAGCAAAACACTGATAATGGCTTCAGTGGTCCTCTGGAGTGACGATTGGTTCCAACTCTTAAATCCCTGATAAGTGTTACTAATATTAATGGAAAAGAGATGCGGACTGACGGCTAAGAAGTCACAGTAAAACTCGTTGACATCTTTGACCACTTCGTATTCGTCCGCTTCGGCCAAACACTTGATGTCTGTTTTGCTGATGATATTGGAGAAGAAGATGTGGTACTGTCCGAAGTGAGGGCGGATCAGCTCCTGTCTCAACAAATCGATATTGGTTTGTGTCGGACGCACGAAGACTATGCACTTCAGGTATTTCATCGATTCAGACATTCGCGTCAAGTTATCCATTGTCTCAAACAAATAGACCTCTTTCTGAAGCATTTCCGACTGTAAGTACACTAAACTCACGACTGATATCTGTTTTGTGGTATAATTAAGACAATTGTTACTAAAAGCCGTCAAAAAGACAACCAAAATGTGTTACCGTCTGTCTGTCCATAAGAAGCACTTTGAGTCCAACACCGCATTCATCGACCATACGATTCAAATACATCTTCACGGAAGCGATCACATCCATTGTCACCACAATTGTCACCCGACTATCGGCTCACAAATACAGTCAAATCAATCAATTGATTGCAATTTTCAAGTGTTTACAAGAGTTCACAAATCAATGCAAACAAACACTTCTGTCATTAACTCCACACAAATTATGTCTCATTTCTTACCAAAAACTTTATCTATTATTTTAACTCATTTTGTAATTTTAATTCAATTTAATATCAGTTTTAAAATAGTATTTATTTATGAAAAATATTGTAAAAAGTTTGTGATTTGAATTGTAATTAAATGCATACTTAAAATAATATCCAAAAATAGCAATAATTTGCACGTATTTTATGATATATTTGACGTAATATTACGGAAGGAGTGATGAATTGAATTGCAATTCATTGACGAAAAAAGATTACATTTGTATTAATTGTAGGAATAATTCATTCATCACTTCATTCACAGGTAAGTCATGTCTTCACAGATGATGTTCACTATAATTGTGATCACAATTTGTTGTCATTTAGTTGTGTCCGCAAACTCGGCAGACATACAATCGAAGCGTCGTTTAATGGGCTTGAGTTCATCCAAAGACATGGAAGTCCCGGATTCGGTGAAGCGTTTGGTCGACACATTGATCGCTGACCACAAAGTGATGGTCTTCTCCAAGAGTTACTGTCCGTACTGTACGAAAGCCAAGAAAGTGTTGGAGAAGTACCCGATTGTGAGCGGACAGTATGAGGTGATGGAGTTGGAGAACAGGGATGACTGCAATCAGATCCAGGAGTATATGAAACAACTGACCGGCGCCTCATCTGTTAGTCAAATGCCCATCAAATATAATGTATTGAAAGAGTTAATGATTGTAATCATGTGTTGACCCACAGGTGCCCCGAGTGTTCATCAATGGTGTCTCTATCGGCGGCGGTGACGATACGGCCCGACTTGACTCTAACGGACAATTGGGCAAAAAATTAGAGGAATGCCAGGCATTGGCCCCCAGGATATGAACAAGACATTTATGGAGACAATTGATGTAAACATAAGACATTTACAATTAACATTTTCTTAAATATAAACCAAAAACTTTTTAATACTAAAATTTGTCATAATTTCTAACCATTTATTGGTGTCAATAATAAGTTATCCAAAGATATTCAACAATTTCTAAAAATATGAATTATATTTAACTTGAATTTTATCTAAATATTAAACGTTTAAATTAATTATTATACCCAATAAGTGTTCATATTATTCACAATCGATTGATTACTTAATGAATAGACGTGTAAATATAGACATATTTAGTTATTTAAATATTTCTAATTATAAAACAATATAATTGATAAGAAACGATGAAAATATGTGGAAAGTATTGCAATAGAAATTGTTATGTAATGTAAATACTGTATATTAAATGTAAAGTCCTATATAAGTGGTAAGCGTTGAGATTTTATGTGGTGTCGAAATGCCAGTCAAGTCTTTGATTCACATAATTGATGTGTCTTCTGATTAGCGTTAAGTGCCATTGATTTGACTTATTATTGCTGTAACTAATGGACAATTGGCGGTCAATGAAAGCCCTTTCGGTATCTCTGATTTGTTTGGATTCGTTTGGAAACCATTTAGTGATTGAAATCAATAGAAATCTTCTGTGAATAAATATCGATTCTTGATCTCTATATAAATCCAATAAGTCGTCCAATAATTGCATTTCTGACGACAAAAGCGAATATAAATTAACTTTTGTTTGGTTTGAAACGGAATCGGAATTGTCGTCAATCGTTGGGATGAAGTTCTTGTGAATATATGTAAACAGGAATTGTCGGAATTGATAGCAACTATAGTCAGAAACATG